TACCAGTTGCTGTTGCGTCCATTCTTACTCTTGGCAACCCCACGTGTCAGAGTAGAACTGCCTGCAATAGAGTTTTCAATAGCTGATTTTAGGACTTAGATAGCCAAGCCTTTCTTCCAAGGTACATCTGGGTGGACTTTAGTCACCAACCTTTTGGTTAGCAGTCAAGTGCATTAACAGTTTGCACCACCCAGGGACTCCTCCATTTTTCACCACCAGCAGCAATGTGAGAGGGCTTGCTAGAACTTCAATTCTCAACATCAAATATGGAAATGTAGCTTCTTGGAATAATGGGTCCTATGAACTTTCTGTTGTTGTTGGGTGCCACTGAGTCAATTTCAACTCACAGCAACCCCATGTGAGAGAGTAGAACTGCTGCATAAGGTTTTCTAGACTGTAATTTTTATGGGGGCAGATCAGCAGATCTTTCTCCCATGGAACCACTGGGTAGATTTGAACCACCAACCTTTCGGTTAGCAGCCAAGTGCTTAGCCATTGCACCACCAGAGCTTACTTTACAGTATTCAGAGAAGTCCTTTTTCTATAACCAAAAAAAAAAAAAAAAGCAAAAACAAAAGCCAAACCAGTTGTTGTTGAGTCGATTTTGACTCATAGCAATTCTATAGGACAGAGTATAACTGTCCCATAGGGTTTCCAAGGCTGTAATCTTTATGGAAGCACACTGCCACATCTTTCTCTTACCCTTTTTCTACAGAAGACAGTAAAATACAAGGTACAAAGTTGAGGCTTTAAACCTGTGGTTGTTGATTCTGACTCATAAGGACCCTATAGGACAGTGTAGAACTGCCCCATAGCGTTTCCAAGGAGCAGCTAGTGCATTTGAACTGCTGACCTTTTAGTTAGCAGCTGTAGCTCTTGACCTCTGCACCACCAGGACTTCATCCAGGCTCAAATTAGGAAAATCTTGTGAAGAATGGTATAAGGAAGCTCTTTTATAATGCTTTTGCTAGGGCACATCCCCATATTTGAATTCAAGTGTTTCATCTCCTAGATATGTACCATCATCATAATAGGGTTCTTCCTGTGATTAACACAGTAGCATTTACTTCGTTTAGAGGTCCCAATAGCACCTGGCTCAGGGCAATGGCAGGGTATGTGGCATAGCCTTCAGAATTAAGCTTACCTTGATTCTAATTGGGACGCTATGAGTTGGAATCAACTTGATGGCAGTGAGTTTGTTTTTGGTGTGACTCTGCTATGGAATTGGACCGATCTGAGGCAGTTTTCTAGACCATAAAAATGGGGCTAGCAATCACCTTTTAGGACTATTATAAGATTAAATGGAATAATGTTTGGGAGAGTGTCTGATACATAATAGTATTCAGCACTAACTTTCCCCTCCTTTCCTTTCGGAAAATAACAGAGAATTGAGAAGAAAACCCCCAAAGACCTCTAAGCAGCCAAAATTTGTCATAAGTCCCATATATTAAAGCTGTCATACTTTACTCATAGAAGAGACCCTAAAAATCGACTTAATATTATTTTACATGCATTTCCAACAGACTTTGTTGTTTGGCTTCCAGCCCATATAGGCATGGATGTAGAAGGGGCCAAAATTGTTAACTGATTGAACTACTAAAAGCAGATATTTAAAAAAATTGTTTAGGAAAAAACAATAATAAAAATCCCAAAAATGCCCACTTGGCTTCGGGTGATTCCTTGACAGTCTCATGAAATAGTTACAACCTTTTAGCAAAGGCCATTCCAAGTCAAATCATCAAGAAAAGGTTAACTCTCTGCCTTGTGTGTTACTAAGAAAGCAGGCCAGGATGTAATACATTTCTTTTTATTTATTTTTCCTGTGTTTAATTAAAGAATTTCAGTATCTCTGTAATATATCAGTGAGCTTTATGAAGATTTACATCACAAAATGTTACACAGAATTTTTAGGGGGGTTAAAAGAGTGAACTTCAGTTACCTGAAAAATTAATTCACTAATTTAACCAATATTTATTAAGTGCCCATTATATGTGGTGTGAACAGTTTGTGCTTGACTACTAACCTAAAGATTGGCAGTTCAAACTCACCCAGCAGCACTTCAGAAGAAAGACTTGGTGATCTGCTTCCATAAAGATTACAGCCAAGAAAACCCTATGGAGTAGTTCTGCTCTGTGGCACATGGGGTGATTGAGTCAGAATCAACTTGATGGCAATTTTTTTTGCCATTATATGTTCAACACTGTTCTAAGTACTGGACTTGAACAGCTAACATGAATAGCCCCAAAATTCTAGGTAAAAAGGTACTATTCATCTCACAGTCTAAATTTATGTTCACTTCTCAGTGAGTCTGCATGATAGGTTCATTCTCATTGTAACTGATTTTAATTTTAGAATCCCCTGTGTTCTGTAAGTTGGAATCAACTCGATGGCAAGAGGTTCAGTTTTTTTGTTTTGGCGTTCCTCAATGTATCCTTTCCAAAAAAGGCCAAATCATAAAATTGTTGAAACAGCAAATGTAAATTTGAAATCACTTGACAGACTGCAAATCTTATATTTCTACTTGAAACTAGTTGTGGTAAACACTTTGACTCATAATCTCATTTGTCAACCTTATATAGGAATGCAATTTACTTAGCTAATTTTACTAGTAGATAGTGTTCTTTCAGGGCACAGAGAAATAGGAATCATAAATACACCATTGCTGCCTGGTTTTGTATCACATTTCATAGTCTCAAAGACTTAAATAGAGGAAATATATTTTAAAACACAAATTAATTGTGTCTATTTCCTAGAAGCTTTTAAAAATGCTTTCATTAGAGATACCAAATCTACAGAGTGATGGAATTTAAGCAGGTATATGGTGATACTATGCAGACATAATAACAACAGCAGCAGCAGCAGCAGCAGTTACCATTTACTTCATGCCTACTACCTGCCAGGTATCATGTTTGAGCTTTGAATGGATAATCACCTTTAATCATCCCAGTAACCTTTCAGACAAGGTACTGCTATCCTTCCCATTATACAAAAGAGGAAACTGGTGTTTAAACAGGTTAACTATCTTGCTGATAGTCACATTATTACTTTAGTGGAACTGGGATTCAAACCTGGGCAGTCCTACTCTTCTACACTTTTGTTGTCTTTCTAAGGAACTATTAGGTCAAATTCAGTAAACAAAAACAATGTCATCTACATGCAGAAACAGGATTTATCTGCTGGCTATATTTTTTACTACCATAGAAATTAAGGTGCTTAAACTATGCTATGAAATAAATACAGTATGTAACCCGATTCCAAAAGTAGACTTTAGAGTCACCTTCCCCCCGCCCCTGAATGGCTGGTGTAAAAATTATCTATGGATATTTTCTCAAAAGTCTTTATATGTTTTACTTTGGCATGTATACTCATTAAAAGTTGTGTCCAAAAATGTGGTAGCTCCATCTTGCTTGCCACTCCCAAAACTTAACTAGGTACTTGTGTTAAATAATCACATCAAAACATACATCAAAATAACAATACTGAAATTTTCAAAGGCATCTTTCTCCAAGGAACCTTAGTGCCAAACAAATATTATCTAATTTGTCCTTTTAGCATTCCAGAGAAAGTTATTGGCTTTATTAGAAGATTTTATTGAAGGGAGAATAGAGGCAAAATCAGAAAATGAATACAAAATCTAGGAAGGTCAATGAGAAAATCCAGAGTTTTCTCTCTCTTTTAACTTTAAAATGTTTGTTTCACCTGATCAGTGACAACTGTAACAATATAAATTGTGTATCTGGCTTCAAATATACTTTCACTGGTAGATCATTGTAATTCAAATCCATTCAGTGCTGCTTCACTTTTGTAATTTGTTTTCCAACTTTAAGTAGTGTACCCTACACCTATTTTAATGATTTAGCACGTTGATAACATTTTCACTTACTTAAAGTTATGTTTGCTGACAGAGCCTTAGCACCAGAAGAAAATTCTAAAAGGCAATCCTTACATTTTCAAATAGCCTGAACAATTAATTGATATAGCTTAAATCCTGGCTAGTTCTGAATTTCCTAAATTAAGGTCCAGGAGTTTTAAAACTGCATCCTCAAAAAAAGTAAAGATGGAAGAAATACATTTCAATACCAAAGAAAATATACTCAAGGTCACAATACACCAGTTCAATCCTCACTCTGACATTTACGACATAATCAGGCTAATTTTTAACTGGATTTTGCCTGGGGTTTTCTTAAGGTAATAGTGTAAACTTTATTATAAAAGATGACGAAGTTGTCAGTGACAAAAAAGATAAAGGGGTCAACAGAAAAGAGAGATATTTAAATAGAAGTGAGAACTTGTAAATTGTTTGTGGGAATCTAAACTGATATGTAATTTTTACAGACCTTCAAAAGAAGATAAGAATAAGAGAGAATTTTTAAAGAAAAGAAACAGCCAAAGAAATGAGACACAGCCATTTTGGAGGGGGTGTCTAACTACACAATGAGGTCATCCTATCTTCCGGAAGTGACACGTAATCACCTGCTCTGCACTAGCTCCGCCCCTTCCCTCAGAGGTCCCGCCTCTCTGCCAGCAGCCGGGAGGGTGTTAGGGGGCGTTTCTCCAAGAGGAAAGCTGTGAGCTGCGACGCTGAGGAAGGGGAGCCCAAAACGTCTGGCACTGCCCCCTCCAGGCATCACTTTGGACCACCTCACTCGGGCCAGCGGGATTCTGAAACGCCGAGGGGTCAACCTGATGGGTTTCGGGGTCAACGGAAGAGGGGAAAGGGAGCCCTGGCGGGGAGAACCCCCCGGTCCCCCGCCCAGCAGCTGAAGCACAGGAAAGCGGCCATCTTGGCCGGGAGGATAGGGCTGGGGAACTGCGGGCGCCGTGCGATTGGGGGGCTCGCCCGGAAGTGACGCCAACTACCCGGAAGCGGAGGGGGTTCCCTGACCCACTCCCCCCTCATTCGTTTGCTCCCCCGCTTCCTCCCCGCCCCCCATCCTCTCCATTCGTTTCCCCCCCCCGTTCCCTGCTTTCTTCCCCCCCTTTCCCTCCCCCCAACCTCCGGAGCTGGGAAGACAGTCAAGATGGCGGCGAAATCCGATGGCGGTGGTGTGGGGGTGGGCTTCGCCCAGCTGCACAACCTGGACGAGGCAGTGGGCAGCGGCGGCGAGGAGGACGGGGAGCCCGGGGGAGGCGGTTGTGGCGGCGGCGACGGCAGCGACCCCGGCGAGAGCAGCTCGCTCCACATCTGCCACTGCTGCAACACCTCCTCGTGCTACTGGGGCTGCCGCTCAGCCTGCCTGCGCTCCCTCCTGGGCAAGAAGCCGCGCCGCAGCGCCGCCGCCTCGGTCGCCGACGGGGGGGACCAGCTGCCGTCGGCCGGGGCCGGGCGCCACCAACCGACGCCTTCATCTGCGCAGCCCCAGCTGCCGCCGCCGCAAGTGGAGCGGCCGTGGCTCGATTGCCTGTGGATCGTGCTGGCGCTGCTGGTCTTCTTCGGGGACGTGGGCACCGACCTGTGGCTGGCCCTCGACTACTACAGCAAGGGCGACTATGGCTTTTTCGGGCTGACCCTCTTCTTTGTGCTGGTGCCGTCGCTGCTGGTGCAGAGCCTGAGTTTCCGTTGGTTCGTGCAGGACTACACGGGCGGCGGACTGGGCGCTGTGGAGGGGCTCAGCAGCCGGGGCCCCCCCATGATGGGGGCCGGCTATGGGCATGGCGCCGTCCGTGGCGGGGTCTCAGCCACGCCGGGGGCGCAGCGCCTGTGCCGTCTCTCCGTGTGGATCTGGCAGGCCGTCATCCACCTGCTGCAGATGGGGCAGGTGTGGAGGTAAGAGCACTGCGGGGGTGGGGGCGGGGGCTTGGCGCGCAGGCCCTGCGGAGGGGCCCCGCGTGCCAGCTGGAGCCCTTCAGAGAGCGCGCTGTCCTCGATTTGCTGCTAAGGTCCCTCAGACGAGTCTTTCCCGGGGTCTTGAAGGATGGATATGCCTTGCACTTCCCTTCGCGTCTCAAAAAGACTCGTTTTATCGGTATCCCTGGCCACGCCTTTTGGCCCAGGGAGGCCTGAAGTCCCGCTGTTCGTCTGTCTTCATCTCTGGTTCGCGCTTAGCGTAGACCCTGCCTCATCTTTTCTCTGCCCTCCATCTATGTACATTTCTCTACATTCTGGTTGTCCCTTTCCCTATAATCGGCCGTTAGCGCTTTTTATCTGCACGCCAGCTCGTGTCCTGAGGGGAACCTTTTTTCTTCCATCCGGTTTGCACTCTGTTTTGTGAGACATCTTCTCCTGTTTTCTCTGTGTACTGGCCTATGTGGGGCCCTGTGGAAAAACCCTTGCTAGCCTCTCCTTTTAGTACTCCTTGATCCCACGCCCCTCCCCCTCTTTCCTGCAATCCTAGCCCTTGCAAATGACTAAGCCGCTGTCCTCCTTGAAGGAAAATGACTTTTTTGCCGAATTAAAAGTACCTTTTTGTTAATGGTAGGTAAAATTGTGTAGTATGTGATTGGTGTAAGCGTTTGTTTAACTCTCACCTCCAGAAAAATCAGTTACCCGCTTGGACACCCATTCTGGTGGAACATTGTTTTTGGTAGCCAGGCTAGTGCTTAGGTGATTGATATTTACGCCAGACTTAGGGTTGGCTTTGCAGCCCTTTCCCCTTTTGTAAGTTTCCGTAGTACCAATTGATTCTCTCAAAAACCACTTGCCACCGAACGGAGTTCTCCTTGCCATGAGCCCTGACTCAACTACGGAAATGAGGCCATTAAAACCATAGCAAATCTGTGCTCTCCAAATGAAATCAGCCTAGTGTATTCTGGAAACAATGAGTGATAGGTAAGAGCATTTGCAAGAGAAAAAAATCTTATTGTAGATAAATCACATAGGGAAGAGCAGTTAGGTATATTGTTTCTGTGAGAAGACATTTTGCTTAGGCTACCCTCGCTCCTACCTGCACTTAGATTTTAGGCGCTTAGTATTTCAGTAAACTGGGAAGTAAAGTTCATTGTTACTTGAATTGTTTATACAGATCTTTATCCGGAATTTTAAAAAAGTTTCAGGAAGCATGGGATTGAATTAAGTCAAATAATGTAAATGGATGCAAGAACTTGGTCTTACCGAATTTACATGCAAATTAAGCGTAGGGGGAGTGTCAGTGGTTCTTGATTTTCCTGGTCCTTACAGAGTTGTTTACCGGTGCTTCTAGATTGAACTAAGCAGTCTTTTTTCTAGCTGCATTTGTCTGCAGATAATTTGTTTTCTGCTAGTAAATCTTTAAGGAGAAGAGGCATAAAATAGAAAAAAGGCTAGTTTATTAACTATTATGAATGTAGCTTGGGTTCAAATAAAATTTTGAAATAAGTTTTGAGTTTGAAAATATAAAGTAAAGACACCCTCAGGCACCCAAATCCATACCAAATGAAAGGTAGTGTGTTTGATATTGAGGAGGCTTTTTTTTGGTCTCTGCAAGTTGGTAAAATGCAAAAGAATGAAGGGAGAGAGAGTCAGGACAGTACGGAAAAGAAAGATTTTCAAATATGAAGGAAATTTAATAGCCTGTATTTAATAAGTAGGTTTCTAAATGAAGAAGACCAAGTCACTTGTCTTCATGTTTTAGACTCCTAAGAAGTGCGGCCAGTAAAAAAATGATTGTGCCAGGTTCACATTCTTGAGAGAATAGTTCGTTATGTAATCCATCCTAGACACTTAGTAGTAAACTTTCGGGACCTAATAAAATTGGAGTTCAGTTTCACAAGTTTTTTAGGCTGAATACTTTTCCCCCCATTCACCTAAACCTAAATTGTATTTGGGCAAAGTAGAAGTACAGATTTTGCAACAAACTGAAAAATGCAGTTTTAAGAATACTTAAATTTAGTTCTTATAGTTGTTTAAATAGGGCAATGTATTGTTTTTCCTCATCTTCACTTAACTTTCAAGGTTTGCTTTGGTATATATGTATTAAAAAAGGATGCCTGTGATTTTACTACATCAGAATTTTTTTCAGGGTTTTTTTTCTGATTGGAATATATCTCTAAGTATTTCATAAAGTGTTAAAAGACATATGAATTCATCTAAGTTATTTATTTTAATATAGCTATACTGCAAAAGAAATATTTACTGAGGAATTTTTTTTTCCAGTAGGCTGATTTACGCTTGAAATATTCCAGCAAGTCTGCTCTTCTAATGCCTGCTAGGCATGTTGCTTATATTGATGTCATTCATATGTATAAGCTTTGGGGAAAGGCTTTTATGCTTTTCTTGTTTTAATCTTTTGCCAACAATTACTTTTCGGTGTGTATAAAGACACATCATCTCAGTTTTTTACTGCAGATCTTTTGGAGGTACAGTTGTTCCTTTAATCATATTCACTACTTAAATTTTCTATTTCTTGTGGTCATTTGACATAGTGGTTGAGGTCTAGGAGTTATATCATTTGATTCTGGCCACATTTCTAAGAAAAGGTGTCAGTGAAGTTGTACGTTGTCAAAACTGATTTCATTAAACCATGAATACCTGTCTCTTCACATTTTTTTTTTCTTTTTAAGTGTAAAATTATTTGACTCTTGCTTGGAAAAAGCACAGTGCTTATTTGAGAAAATTTAGTTTCTCTTGATATTAAGATTTTATACTTCTGTACATGTTGCTTTCCTGTTAAGAAGGCAAATAGTTAACATCTCTTTCACCAAATGACTATACAGAATGTAAGAAAAGTATTTTTGGCTGGGCCAGAATTGGAGCACGGAAGAGTAGTTGCATGTAGAATAATTTGGTATCACAAATCTCCTTTTGCAGAGCACTACTGTGTGATTAAGGTCTGTCTAATACATTATTACCCTCACTAACCAAAAAAAAAAGAAAAAAATAACCCGTTGCTATCAAGTGAATTCTAACTCATAGTGACTCTATAGGACAGAGGAGTAGAACTGCCCCATAGGGTTTCCAAGGCTGTAATCTTTACGGAAGCTGACTGTCACATCTTTCTCCTGCCGAGAAGCTGGTGGGTTTGAATTGCTTATTGGCTGTCAGCTGAGCAGTTTAACCACTGCACCACCAGGGCTCCTTTTACCCTCACTAAACTTGTCACTGAGTTGATTCTGACTCAGCGTCCCTATAGGATAGGGTAGAAGTGCCCCACAGGGTTTCCAGGGAGCAGCTGGTGGATTTGAACTACCAGCTTTTTGGTTAGCAGGCAAGCTCTTAACCGCTCTGCTACCAGGGCTCCTTACCTTCGCTTGTTACTTAAAATGTAAGTTACTTTATAGACTTACCTGCTCAATTTTTTTCAGGTGCTTTTCCCAGGGATAGTAGGTAGTCACGCCAGGAATATGAGGCACACCAGGCTTCAGTGTAGTACAATGTGTTGTCATGAGAAAGTGAGATCATTTTCTTGGAGGGTTTGACATTAGGAACGGTTTGAGTTCATTTGAGGAGCACTCGTGGCACAGTGGTTAAGTGCTTGGCTGCTAACTGAAAGGTCGGCATTTCGAACCCACTAGCTGTTTGCATATTTCATTGTTTATGTAAGTGTTTTTCTTCAATATATTGTCTTTGCTTTTGTGTTACCTTTAGAGGGCACTTAGTGTGTTGACAGTTCTCTTCAGTCAAGAAGCAACAGTTCTTTAAAATTTTATCTGACATTAGGATGCCATAGTCAAATCATTAATCTTCCTTTTATTTATTTTTGTGTGTTTGTACTGTTCTATTTTACAAGGGAAAGAGAAATTTATTTAAATTCCTAATAGTATTTGCCATTTTAAGTGAACAATCAGTTGTCCTTTATATTGGGAGATGGGATGGGGTAGAAGAATGCTATCAAAGGGATACAAAAGAAAAAAGCATTTCACAGTTTATAACTGTGCCATCAATTTACGAACAGCTGTAAAGCTTGGTTTTAGCATTTTCTCTGTTTCTAGGCTTTAGTATAATAATGGTTGCACTACAGGTGTCTATATGATTAGCAGCAAATGTTCATGGACTGGTGAAGATACTTTTTAAAATTAACACCCCCCCATATGTAGATGATACATGGTATATTTTGGGACTTCTGTTCGTGTTGAATATTTTAATGTTTCTTAACTCTGACTGAGAGTAGAATCTACTCTGCAGCTTTTAAAAAATAGAAATGCCAGAGCACTGCTGGACCTGCTGAAGAAAAATTCCAGAGTGGGGCCCAAGCAGTTATATTTTTAGGAGCTCCAAAGGTAATCGCATGGACAGCTAGTGTTGAGAAGCATTTTTAGAACTAGGTTTCAGGCTTATTCCATTTGGAGATTGTTCTTAGTAAATATAATGGGCCTATTTGGAAAGGAATGATTTGATCTTACGAAGTTTTGTCCCTGGACAACACCGTAACGAAACAACTTTACTTTAGAAATGTGAATGTATAAAAGTACTTGGAGCTATCTCAAGTGTATACACGTAGGATTTCTTATTTCTTTGAGCCCAAATATACATCTCATTCTAAAAGAATTCTCAAATTCATAGCTGTTTTCATTAAATGTAGTTTACTTCTTTGCCTCTGAAATGATACAAATAATACTTCTAATAATTATGTTGCATGTAGAAGGTATAATAATTCTGCTTAATTTTGAAATGATTCTCTTGAGTAGACTGGAGGTAAACTTAACTAGGATTATGAAAGGTATTGGACTAAGTTATCTGTAATGCGCTAACTTCAAGATTTTGTAATTTAAAAATGGTAATGTTACCTTACAAATAAGGAAATTCATTTATGTGGGCCAGGGTACTGGTTGGTCATAGTCATATTAAAAAGATGGTATGTATTTATTTGTGTTTGTGTGTGTGTACGTGCGCATGTAGAGGCCATATGTGCT